GATTTATAAGAGATTCTGAATGCCTTAGTGTTCCATAATATATGATATATGGCTTTAAATGGTGGAAAAAGAGGTAGTTTTTATCATTTTCAGACATCTCAGATCCAAAATTTCATATCCAATTTTATCAATTAAATAAGATAGGACGATTAAACTAAATAAATAAATAACAATGGATAATATGGACAATATTTTTCAGCTACTCTTCTTTAAAAAAAAGAAACTTACATTTACAAAAATTTACAATTTTAAAAATTTTATCATGAAATTATGAAGTAAAAAATTCGAAATCAATCAACATTATCATACAGATAAGAACATTACTAGTAATTTTTGCAACATTATTGCTTTTTTCTCTTAACTTTCTTCCTTTTTGAAAAGATCATTGAATTGTTTGATAAGTCTAGTTCACTGCTTCCAATTCCTTCAAAAAGACCATCAGATTTTTTAGTTACAAGTGGTTTTCCTCCACTCATATCCATTTTAACAATATCTGATTTCATTTCTTCAAATTCAATAGATTTTTCAAAAACTGCATCATCAGTCTGCATTTCACTTATTCCACTGTTCTCCAATAAAGTGACTTCATGTGATAGATCATATGTAGCAAAAGATTTTTGTAATCTGCAAAAATTCCACTTTTCTTCTATCAGTTAGAGGAGAAAGGAGTAGAAAATTTTCAATGACTAACGTCATTTTCGAAGCAAGTGCACTTAATAATTGATCCTCATTCCAACCAATAAGTGAAGCTATTCGATATAAACTCGTTGCACATGAATTAGATGGTTGGCTTCCAGCTGAACTTATATCAAAGGCATTTTTGGCTATCATAGGCAACCTGAAAATTTTTTAAAATAAGAAGTGGAGTAAATTTAATTAATATATACATAAAACTTGACAATAGAAAAAAATTAGACATTTGAGAAAAAATGATTTACTTTTTTGTCACAGCAAGTGCAACAAGTGATTCATAATAACCCAACATTTGATGAATATATCTTTCCAATTGCTTAAAAACATCAGCAACAAATGATAGAAACAATAGATTGGGAATAATCTAAAATTATGTCGGATAAAGAATCAGTTAGGAAGACAGGAAAATAAAAAAAGTAGAAAAATAATGAAGGAAAAAAAATAAAATTAAATACTAATATGAAATTAAATAAATTAATATTTACTAAATGTCCAAGTTCAAGATAAGCCAAAATATGTAAAGCTGCTTTAGGGCAAAAATGACGCAGTCGATTCATTCGAATTATTTTTGAAAGAAAAAGTGCAGCGATATATTCAATTATACTATCGTTCACATCATACAAAATTTTCGATTTAGACAATCGCTGAAAAATTAAAAAGTTAGCCATCAAAAAACCAGTTTTCTTGTTGTTATTATCATCTAAAAAATTGGTTATTCATGTTAATTGTCTCGATGAAACAATTTTTTCATGACTAAAATATAATCTTCCCTTGTCATTCCAATTTGAAAATATTTCATTTAATTTATTATCATTATCAATATCATTAAAATGAATATCAAAATATTATAATAAGAAAATATCATTTAAATGAAAATCCATCCCGCTTCTGAGGTTTTTCCTTTTTCTTTGCAATTCTTTAACGATTTCATTTATAATCATTCGATTGATAATAATTTTTATCTGAACAAATCAATCGGACTCTTCCATTCAAATAATAAGAAATAAAAAGTGGGAAATATTCGAAAATGTTGCGAATAACCATGAAAATCTTAAAAGAATGGGGAAATATAGGAAATATAGAAAATATTCCGTACTTTTAAAATTAATTTAATCGTAAAAATTAAGTGAAATATCGTCAAAGTTCAATCTCAATAAATCTCGTAATGATGAACGACAACATGAATACGATATTCAATATTTGCGTGAAATGCTTGTTGGTTAGCTATAAGAAAAATTAAAAAGAGACTACCCTTGATATGGTTGATAATATATCATTCACATTAATAGAGTTGATCTTTGCTAAACCCTTGGAAATTTGACGCGAATATCTTAGGAATTTCATATTCCTGCAAGAAAAAATTTCGATATAAATTTCGATACCACAGTTACAAATAATCTATAATATACCAGACCAGACTACCTATATGGAGCACTCGTTTTATAAATCATATTTTCCATAAATAACAACGACTGATCACAGATAGTTCTTGGACACATCCGCATGATATCACCAATCACAGCCTTATAACAAAACAAATTAGTTCGCAAAAGAAAAATAAAAATCGAAATTTTTCAAAAAATTCGGAAAATATTCCTCTCATTATACATGCAAATGGAAAAAGTGAAGCTTACTTTTTTACGTGAACATTTTTCAACGTTATTAATGCATGGATTTGTCTCAAAAAATTCAGTTGGTTTATTACGAATTATATGATCTATTTTGGATAAAAAATTTTCATTATCCAAATCATAAATATCACTGAAAAATTGATAAATTTCAATGAAAAAATTTTTTAGGAAAAAGAATTATATTTATAAGAATTATAATTAAAAATGAATTATTTTTATTTTTATTATTTAAAAGTTATTAAATTAATTCCGTTGACTCGTCGAACCAGACAAATTTTGCGAGTCACTTGATAACAGAAATAGTTAAGTTAGTCACCAGTATCACCACCCGGATCTTTAAAAGAAAACAACGGTCGCTCCAAAACGAAAGCAACAATTCACCATCCGAACCACCCATTCCATTCTCATTTTTGTTATCCGATTGATTTTGATTTTGTAATAATTTTTTATTTTTTTTTTTTTTTGATTTTGTAATAACTAAATAAATTATATCTGAAAAATAAAAAACCCACAATTAATATTATTAAAAAACTTACAATTTATCAGAAACTGAAATCGAATCCTCTGTGAAATTTGAAGATGAATTTTCTTCTTCTTTCCTTTTCATAAGAGTTAAAATTTTTTCGTTTTCCAAATAATCATTTTTTAATTTCGATAAATTTCGATTTTTGTTCGATTTTTTCGTCTTTCGAACAATTTTATCTCTTTTTTTCTTCTTTTTTTTCCCCATTAATTTATTTCCGAAAAATGAAAAAAATAAATTAACAATAAAAATTTGTAAGCGAAAAGAAATTTTTTTGAAATTCAATTTATGATTAAAGTTGTTTATAAAAGTAAAAATTACAAAATTGCAAATATTTAAATAAGAAATGCATTAAATTGATAAAACTGATAGCAGCGATAATGATAAAATTATGAATAATTAAATAAATGATAGAACAAAGGATAAAACTGATATTATTGATAAAAATGAACGAGTGATAATAATGATAAATATACAAAAAAATCATTATCATTAAAATCATTAAAATCGGAAAATTTTTTGCAAAAAAGAAAAGTTTATTATCATATAAATCAAATGAATAAATGAGCAAAAACCTAAAGAAATATGCTCATAAATTTTCCAACAAAGAAAAAAAAATATTCAAAAAACATGCTAAAAAAACAACTGTAAATTCAAGTCAGATCTGAGGTTCAAATCGAACTACTATGAACAAACATTCGTTTCGGGAATCAATATTTTTAAATTTTGCTAATTTTTTATTTATGCACTGATTATCCTAAAATCTTTTTGCATTTTAAGTGGTTTTTTAGATTCTCCTTTTCGATTTCGGTTTGGATAGACTTGAAACTTAGAGAATTTATATATTTATGGAACATTAAAGGAGTATAGCGGGGGGACTTACGGAGCTAATAAATATCGCTTAAAATAAGAGAGAATTCGAGAATTCTACAAAATTCGATAAAAAATTCTCTGAAAAAATTTTTTATTTAATTGTAATGTTTTAAATAAAAAAAAATTCTATTGAATTTTATTGGAAAAAATTTAAAATTTTTAATTTATTAGAAATTGAAAAAAAAATTTTTCGAAGAAATTTAGCAATGAAATTTATTTTAACATTTCGCTTTTTATTATATTTTTCCAATAATTTTATTTCTTTTTTTTCATTTCTCGTTAAATTTTCGAAAATTAAAGTGAATTTGTAATCGCTTATATGATTTTTACATTTTAATATTTTAAATTTAGAACGTAAAAAAAAATTAAAAAATAAAAGAATTGAATTTTTTAGCGATCATTTGAAGTAGAAAAATAATTTTTTGTTAAAATTTAATCTAAAAATATTTTAAAAATGTTGAAAAGGAGTTAATTTTAAATTAATTAAATTAATAAGAATTAAGAGAATTAATTAATTACAAAAATAATTAACAAAATATAATCGAATCGATGCTATTAAAAATATTTTTAATATTTCTAATAAAAATATTCTATATTTTTTAAATTTTATTTATATTTTTAAAATTAATTATTCCCTCCCCCTCTCCCTAAATTTTAAAATATATATGTAGCAATTAGTGAAATAAAATATTTATTTATTTATTGAAAACCAGCCAAGCAGAGCGCAAACGCCATGTGCTTGTATTAATAACAACAGTTAAAATAACAAATAGTACAATTATGTTATTATTTCATCTTTATCAATTCTTTATCTTTATCTTTATCAAATATATCAATTATATTATTTCGCAATTTCTTCTTTATTTCATCTTTAAATTGCTTATTTTATATAATTTTATTTAATTTTATATTTTATATGATTATTTATTAAATTGTTTATTTCATCTTTAAATATGAATAGTAGGAAAGCCTTATTAGAAGAGCGCTCTTTCATAATCCAAGACGAGTTAGCGAAAATTGTTATTGTTTTCTATTCTGAGTTCTTATTTTATACGCGAATTGATAATTGGGCAGCAAAATTTGGAATTAGGCCTGGTTATTTTGTTTAATAATACGAGAAATAGCAAGAGGATTAGATTTGGTTGTTATTGATTGTCGTTAAACTGCGTTCTTATTAATTGAACTACTGATCGAATACAAATGAATATAAATTGTGATAAAATTTTGATAATTTACTTTGAAATATAAAAAATTCTAATAAAAAATTCTAAGAAAAATAATTAAATAATAATAAAAGAAAATGGTTGATGAAAGAATTGTTTATAAAAATTTTCACCAAAATATGCCATAGAAAAATGAATGACCAATCCAAGTGATAATGAAAGTGGTAATGCTGGTGATAATATATCATTTTCTGATAAAACTGTTAACGTTATAATTAATCCAGCAAGAATGCCAACAATTACTCCTATTATACACATTGCACTTTGACTTGTTGCTACTTTTCCAACAAGTAAACTGTAAAATACAAAATCGCCCATTCCCAAGTGAATTGATCCTAAAAAAAATTATTAATTATAAATTAAAATTGTTAAAAATTTCATTCCATTAAATACATTTAATTAATATTTATTTTAATATTTACTATAGAAATTTAAAATATCAGAGAAATAGACGTGATTAGCGCTTATCATCCCTCGTTAACTTCGTTGGGTATCAATAAGATAAAGAAAACAACAATCACTCGCCTATCCTATCCTCATTGGACAATGTACAAGTTCGCTGCAAAACTCTTTATAATTTTCTTACCAGTAACTATGTTCGATCATTTTTCGTATTTTCATTATAGGCTATTACGAGAAAAGAAATGAGTTAGTATAATATAATTAATTGAATTTACGTTTATAATTATTATAAATTCATAAAATATCAAATAATTATCGAGTTAAAATATCGCTGGTATAATTATAATTTTCTTATTTATAATTATAATTTTTGTTTTTATTTAATTTTAATTTTTAAATATTTTAAATAAATTTGTAAAACGAATTGAAAAATTATTACTTTGATCATTCAATGCATCGTAAGCTGTAAAATTTTTTTCTTTCTTAATTTTTTTATTATAATTTTCCTGAATTGGCAAATCATTTATGCAATTCATCGAAAATTTCTCATCTTTAACTGAACCTTCGTTTTCCTATGAATTTTTCTATTATTTGTGAAAAAAGTTAATTTTATTGAATTTTTGTTAATGATAAAGTTTTTAGTTATTAGTCCCCAGTGATGAATGATAAGCCCTTAACAGTAATTTTTTTTACAAAGTTTTAGTCTTAGTCTTAATAAAAATATTAATCATTTTAATAAAAATGATAATATGATAAAATGATAAGAGTGTGCTATATAATATAAATTATATGACAAGTCTTGTGGCGGATGGCGTGAAAAGCGAGAAAAACCAATCGACACTTGCATTTAATAGGGTGAGTGCAAATTCGTTCATTAATATATGAACTTAAATGGTAAAAAAAAAAAATTGGTTTTAATAAAAATTGGTTTGGTTTTAAAATTGGTTTTGAATTGGCTTTTAGATTTTAATAAATCAAAAAATCAAAAAAGTTTGAAAATGCTTCATTTTTCATAATGAGATCAATCATTCGAAGTTACAAATACTCACTAAACTTTCCGATTCCTCGCTTAAACGAGTATATAAATCGTCTTCCGATGGATTTTCGGTATCAATAGCTGTGAACATCAAAAATCTTAATACCTAAATTGTAGTTAAAATAATGAAAATTTCTATTCAATATAAATTCTACAACAAAATTTTATATCCAACGAATAGGAATAGAATGGCTCAGTGGGTTATTGCTCAATTGAGAGTGCCGATGCTGTGGTTCGATTCCCCGTAGGAGTAAACCTGCACATAAATCCGGTTGATGCTGGCGACTCGTCTATATTTCTATCGCCAAGGGGCTTCCTGACATATTGCCCAATGTGACAAGCCAGTAGAGCAAGCCAAACCGGAAATGGTGAGAACTCTTAAAAAGAAAAAAAAAATCCAACGAATAGGACGAAAGCATTGAACTATACCTGGTCACTATAATCATGGGCTATTTCATAGATACGTCGAAGTGGACCGAAAGGTGTAAGGACAGCAAAAATATCTAAAAAGATTGTTTTTTATCATTTTCCTCAGGCGCCTCATAGCCTTTCTCATTTATTTTACAATTAATATCAACTATTGTAATTGCTTCGTAGTTCATTTTTTTAAAAACATTTACTATTTACTTATCTACAGCATTTACTGGTTAGGCTCACGGCGCCAGTTAGCTTTTTTGATCAAAAAATTTTTATTGGGGAGTCACTTTAACGAAAAAAGCACAGATGGACATCAAAATTTATGAAAGACAAAATGGAAGTACCATAGATTATTGAAAAGTTTAGAAATTATTTTAAAAGTTAAATTAAAATTTCCTTAAAATTTAAGAGAGACTACTCATTATTAATTAAATTAAGAGATATGATATGATATGAAATTTCTTCTCATACGGTTTCTTTTATCGCATTTTCAAAAAATTTCACTTGATTTTCATATTTAAAAAAGAAATAAAAATCAAAATTAAATAAAAAATTTTTAAAAAAATCGTTATTTGAAGGAATTGTTTTTCCTATAATCAATTGCTGTTACTTTATTTTCTGTAATTTCTGAGATTAGAGTAAGTCTTATCAATTAGAGATAAGAAGCTTTGCACTGCTATAAAATCTTTTCTAAAATTAAGGGATTTTCATTTATCATTTATTTTATTGTACTACTTACTTATTATATTTATTTATTTACTGGCATTCCATTCATTTTTACAAATTTAGATTTATTTGCCTTCGCAAAGCTCTTGTTTACTTAAAGCAATTTTTAAATTTGATTGAATTTCATTGTTATAGCTCATTTATAAGATTCAAAAAATTTATAGGAACAAAAGGATGGTTCAGTGGGTTGCTACTCGCATTTCAAAGCGACTCTGCTGCGGTTCTTATCCCCAGAAGAAATAAGCCTACTTTTGGTTTTATTCGCGACTCAACCTGCATTTTTTTCGTCAAAATGCCTACTTCCTGCAAAATTTGTCTGGCCCGACAGTGAATCGCATTTAACCAGAAATAATGAATGATCTTAAGAAAAGGGAAATGCTATTGGTAAATAAATATTTGCGAAATCATTAACTATACTCAGCTACTGAAAATTCTTAAATAATTCTTTTTTTTGGATAAACTCACCCCAGACGATGATATAAATTAATACAAACCATGTTGTATAAATAGGAAATGTACGAAGATAAAATAGAGAAACCAATGAGCAATTACAAATAACGTAAAATTGATGTATGAAGAGTGGCACATTTCGAGTAAAAAATGCAAATAAACCCGTTATTCCATAAAGCATAACAAGTGGAAATATAATGAAATATGTTTGAGTTCCATTCCAATTTAATTTTTTGAAAACATCGCTGAAATAATTGAATTCATTTTGTTAATTATTTTAATAATTTCAGAAAAAAAATGCATTCCAATTTTTTTCTTATCATTTTTATCAGTGAGGCAAAAAGCACTAACAGTTCAAATTTCACTTATCATCACCATCAATATTACCAATATATTATCAATAATTATCAGATTTCTTCTTTTTTTTTATAAATATTAATATTTATAATAAAAATTTTCCAGCTTGATTCCAGTCAGATTCATCAATTAGGCTAAAGAAGGACTATCCATTTTCCATTTCTATTTGTCGATCTCAAGGATTTTCTAACAAAGGATCAGGATCTTAGTTTTTGAAGCCAGCCAAATTAGAGATGATGCTAGAAGAATGATAATGCAAATAAAATTGAAATAACTGAAACTGTATAAAAGAATACTTTAGAAATATAGCGAATATGCCAAATAAAATGGCAATGCATGAAGCATAAAGCCAAAAATGAACGAATCGAGTAAAATTATGTAAAGCCATAAAAAGCAAAGTAAAGCTTATTACAGCTATTATTGCCAAATAACCTATTCCATTCACCTACAATATAAAATTTTTAATATTTTGTGTATGTCGAGTATTTCTTCTGCCAATTAGGTATTCAATGATTGAAACGAAGTACCAATCCGTCGATAATTTCATTCCCAGTTGTTCGATTAATGGCAGCATTAAGCATGTAATGAGATATGGAATCGCTATTTCCATCATATATTCCAATCCATAAAAATAAAGTCAAAACCATATTTATGGTTACTGGAAACAATAAGCTATTAGCCTGAAATTGAAAATTCCTCAAAGAAAAAACATAAAAAGTGCTTTAAAATCTCAAAGAATGGTGATGTGAATGAAGTGAAATGCTATATAAAATTCTTCCACAAAATGTACCACGGACTCACCAAGATTCACCAAGAAAAATCTGAATAATTAATACGATGGAAATTATCAGAGTGGAACAAAGTAAAGCAAGCCAACTTGTTTAAGTTGTTTTGTCCAATAAGTGCTTGCAAACGAAAATTTTTCATCTTCTTCAATTAGTTGCTTCTGTTTTTTTGCTTGATGATTGTTGAAATTAAAAAATTTATGCATATTTCAAAATATATTTATTTCTCTAAAAAATGACCACTTTCAACAATAACAAAAAGATTGAAAAAAATTTAAAATATCAAATTTAAAAATTTAAAAAAATTTAAAAAAATTTAAAATTCAACCGAAGAAATAATTTGAAAATTTTAAAATTATTTCTGACAAAAATTATTTGTATTAAAAAATAAATTTTTAATTTAAATTTCAACCGAAAAAGTGATTTGAAAATTTTAAAATTATTTGCATTAAAAAACAAATTTTTAATTTAAATTCTTTTTAAATTCTTTATTTATCAGAAAGGCGAATCATGAATAGAAAAAACTGTTAATCGAGAACCTCAATGAAATTTTTTTTTAATTATAAAAAAACCATTGAAGGCCTTTTATTGTACTATATAATTTATACAAAATTAATGTTGTTGATTTTTAACTTTGCTTTAAGACCATAAATATTTTTTCTGATAAAAAAATGATAAGTAATAGAAATAAGCCAGAAATTCCATTCAGTTTTGTTGTAATCGATAAAACTTGCCTAATCATAATTTTATATTTTCAATTGAGTAGAATTAGCCTATATTTCATTGATTGCTAAGCCTCGATGGAGGTAAATATATCACTAAAAATGAAGCCCTGGTGACTAATTGGTGCAAAAGCCCTTACTTCTATGCCTCCATCAAAAGTTTCTATCGCCAGCAATTGGTGCAAAAATTCTTGGAACTTATCAAAATTTGTGCATTTCTCCTATTATTATCATATTTAATTTCTGAATCTTAGACTTATACTATCCAAATAGGAAAAACCTAAAAATTTTCATCACTAGTTCTTCGAATTTTTTTCTCTTTGATTGAAGACATTTGAAATTCGTTTCGTATTTCAGAAATTTCAGTCGATCAATGACAAAAAATTTATTTTAAAAATTTCGCATTTGCAAAATTTACACAAATTTTCCTTTCCTTTAACATTACTCATTATTTTTAATTTATCTACTAATTCCGCCAAACGCTAGTTTGAGTCTTTTTCATTAGCCGTTTTTTCAGAAGTGATACTAGCAGTTATACGAATTTCGAATTTCGAGCTTGAACTCGAGCTGTTTGATTACAATCGAAACAATATTCTACTTGAATTTCCTATAAATTTTTATTAATACTCGTTAATTTTTAGATTTATTCGCTAAATTATAATTGAAAATAATAAAAAATTCGAAATTTTTTTATTTTATACATTTTTTGAATGCAAATATAAATCTTTTCTTTCGTCTGTTAACTTTTGCTTCAGTTGAATAAAGTGCTAAAATTTTTATTGAAAAATGCGTTCTTTACGTTTTATTATAAATGAAAATTTTGTAAAGATTTCCTAATCTCAATAGTAAATATTTTTTACAAATATGAAATTTGTGAAATTGTCAATGAATAACAAAAGAAAGATGGCGGCGTTAAATAAAGAAACGAGAAAAAATTTTACTGAACGAAAATGAAATGGATTACAATGAAACGAGAAAAAAACCAAAATTTTTTTTTTTTTAGGTAAATTCTATGATTTGATTCTATTTTCTAAATTTTCTGAAGAAATTATTTTATCGATATTTGAAAATTCTATTTTTTAAGCAATTTTAAACATACAAAAGCTATTGATATGATTTGATAGGATAATTATAGTGATATGATAATTTCGAAATGATGAAATGATAAGTGAATCTTAACGCAATTTTCTCAGAATTCCAGAATTTTATTTGTTATCTTTCCCTGTCATCAATTAAAAATGTTATTTATTCTTTTTTAATAGAATTATTATAGGAGATTTATTAAAAATTTGTTTTGTATTAAAATTAAAATTAAAATTAATTAATAAAAATTAAAATTAAAATAAAATTAAAATTAAAATAAAATTTAAAATTAAAATTAAAATTGTATTAAAATTTATCATTTTATGGGTAATTTCAAGAGAAATTTTTGTCATATTTGATATGTGGTGATTGTCAACCAACAAGCTGTTTCAGCACTTTAAAATTATCAATCGTCTCATCAAAAAGAAAAAGAAGTAATGTTCGTTTCAAGATAATAAGTGATAAAATAATAATGGCCGATTTGTCTTTTTTTCATTTTTTTTTCAGTTACTAACGCCAAAATTTATTTAGTTAATAAGTATTCAAATCTACGAAATAGATGGTAATTCATAAATCATCGATGAAATTTTTAAAAAAAACGAAAATTAAAAATATTGACTGAAAACCATGGAAATGAAAATTTTTCGGCAAATAATTTATTTTCATCGTTTCCCCCCCCCCCCCCAATATTTTAGTAATATTTGTGGGGTTTTTTTCGTTTCCTACGCAATTAGAATTCAATCAATCAAGTTTATTAAAAAATATTGCAAAATTTTTATGAATAAGAAAATTTGAGAATTCGGTGAATAATGATGAATGAAATTAAAATCTTCGAATCTCGTTAATCGTTTAATTTATGAAAAATTAATAAAAAATTTTTTAGAAGAAATTTTTTGTAAGAATTTTTTCTTTTTTTATAAAAATAAAAAAAAGAGATTTTATAAGAATAAGAAAAATAAATTCCAAATTTTTTTCAGAAGCTCTTTTTGCAAAGGAAAAAAAGCCATTTGAGAATTTTTTTTCGCATTTTCAATTGAATAGATATTATATATATATAATATATTATATCTATAAAATATTTATATATAAAATATATATATATCAGCAAAAATAATTTCTCTTAACTTTCTATCAATCATAAATTTCACAATTTATTTTAGTCTTTTCCCTTTAAATTTGTTTTTTTTAATATTTTTTAAATCCTTTCCTGATTTTCCCATTCTTGAAAGTTTTTAATATATATAATGCGTAGAATGTTCTATTATTCTTCTTATAAGGCATTATTATATCCTTCTTTGAATGGTATGTACCATTTATTTTTGACTGGCTTCACTGACTAATATGATTGTACCCTCCTTTCTAGGCATAGGAATATAGATATAGTTAGGTCACCAGTCGTCGCACAAATTTCATTTCTAATGACTTCTTGTAAGGAATCTAATCCATCTTGTTTGTAGACAACTGAAGTAGTCATGTGTCATGCGATTCATATTCTTCACAAGTCTCAGAGTAATCTGTCGTTATTGTGTTTGTTTGTTTGTATATAATATATTTTTCAATCGTACTTTAAATCATTTAATCACAATTGATATTTTAAAACTAATTAGATAAAATAAAAGAATAAATACATAAAATACATAAAAAATAAATAAAATATATAAATTAAAAATACAAAATACAAATTATCAAATTACCGTTAAAATAAACAACAAATGAATTAAATTTTTTCTCCATATTTGCTAAATATTATTTGATTTTTTAATACATTTTACGAGTTTTTTTGTTATTTTTTAAATTATTTATTGCCGTATTTTTTAAAATAATTTTCAATAATAGTCAGCAATCAGTAAAAAAAGTCCTCCTTTCCTTTCACTTTTCAAAGACTCGAAAGATTTTATTCGTATTTTTAAAAAAAATAAAATGTTCACTTTATTTCGATGAAATAGAAAATTATTAAAAATATTTAAAAATATTATTAAAAATTATTAAATTATTAAATTATTAAATTATTAAAAATTATTAAAAATATTTAAAAATATTATTAAAAATACTTATTCGATATGTTTCTAGTTTCTATTTTATAGAATTGGAACTTTACTCACACAATAAATAAATTTTTATGAAAATTTATGAATCATGGAAAATTACTGCATTCACAGATAGGGGCGGCATGATAACCGAACGATTAGTGGCTGAGATTGTTGCGGTGAGAATCAGCAGTTCGACTACTTTCTCCGATTAGAAAACCTGTTATTAAAAAATCTGTTTGGTGCTAACAACCTAGTCCATCTGTATCATCTCTTTCTATATTAAATCTCTAGCAAAAAATTTCCAAATAAACCTTAACCAGAAATATTGAGCGTTTAATTCGCGTTTAATTTTTCATTCTCAGATATACGTGAAATAAAATTAATGCAATAAAATCAGTCATTGTTTATCATTTATCACATAATAAACTATTTATCATCAATTAATTTTAATTAAATTAAAAATTTCTCATAAAATATTCTTTTAATTTTGTTCAATTTTATAAATTATATTAGCTATTTGTGAAATTTTTTTTTTTTGCTTAATTATATATGAAGTAAATAAAAAAAAAGAAAAAATGTTTCTTTAAGGGATTAAAAAATAATCAAATAATGAATAATGAAAGAAAAGCTGATGAATTGAATATAAATTATTCAATGAATAAATTTTTATCGATGTTTTATTTAAAATTAAAAATAATCGCAATTAGTGAAATTTAAATAATTTTAAGAAATTTAAAAACTTTATTTTAAAAAAAATTTAAATTTAGAACTTTTAATTATTTAAATTATTAATTATTTATTGAAAACAATTCAATAAGATTAGTTGCAATCATTAACCGGTTCGTTTTATTATTATCAGCCATTTCTGGTTTTCGCTGACGAGCGCTAATGAGAACTCCTTTTTTTGAAAAAATCTATTTGGATAAAAATCGTTACCAATATTGTTATTATATATCTTTACAATTATTATTTATTAATCGTCGAGAATGTATTAAACATATTTTTAATAAATGATTTTTTTAACGATAAAAAAGAAAGAAAATGAAATTGAAGAGCAAAACATTAAAAAATCATTTTAGTATTTATAAAGTTTAGATTATTTATGTAGTTTTAGAAAGTTTTTTAAATATAATTTTAATATTTTAATTTCAATACTTAATAGTTTTAATATTTAATTTCATTTTTAATGCCAACTTATTTAATTTTAATATTTATATGCTTCTAATAATAATAATATAATTTTAATAACAATTTGTATAATTTTGTATATATAATTTTAACATAGTTTTTTTGAAACAAATCTTAAAAAATCTTTTATGCTTTCGATTGTAGCATATCTAATCTTATCTATCAATATCTTTAATGAATGAA